CTGTCTGAGGATACTTGGGGATCTTATCCTGCTTTCCGGTACATTGAAATCTGTCGGTATCCATGTTCAGTGCAGGGAGGCTTCCTCATGATTTCTGTAGCTGCATGTGGCAAAAATAGTTTAATTCCTGAAATGTCCCAAGCCATTACTATTGGGAATGCTTTGGAGGAAAATTGAAAGAAAAAGTTAATTTCTTAAGTTATTTTTGGCCATCCTTCTTTCCCTGCCTCATCAAGTCCTCTTCTCCCTTCATGCTGTTTTCCCCTCGAGTGTAACAGCTTGATCTGCCATCGATGCTTCTGCAGTTCTGTTATTCCCCCCTCATGGTTACTTACCTGATTTCCCGTATCTTGTCTTCTGTCTCCTCTCCTTCCTTTAGCACTTTTACTTTCTGTAGTTGAGTTGGACACCTTGTTCTTCTCGGTTGCTTGGTTTTATTCCTTTAATAGGTCCTCTCTCTCTTCCCGTCTTTCTCCACCCCCTTTCTGTGTCACTTTCTGTCTTCCCCAATGCCTCTCTGCTTTTCCCCCTCTTCCTTCTTCACCTAATTTTCTTGTCTCTCCCACACCCTCCAGCTTAATCTATTTTCAAGCCTAGTTTCCTGTTGTTTTCTCTTTAAAGACCACCCTCCCCATTCCCAGCCTCTCTCCGTGCCACCCTCCCCGTGCCGACAGGATGCATTCACTGCTGGCTTTGCGTTGTCCCTTCCAGTTGCTGCTACCACTGTTCCTTGCACCTCCTCCCCCTGATAACATGCTATGGTCTAAGCCTTCCTTAAAGCTGGGGCAACCCCACAATTACACCAGCCAGACCCCGGGAAGCTTTTTGCATGCAAGACATCAATGAAATACACTTTCCTGACTCAATCACACTTAGTTTGGCAAAGCTGAATTCATGTGGAGCAGAGACCTCCACCTCTCCAAATAACATAGGACTTGCTCTGCTGGCTTGGGTCAGGGGCGCAGCACAGCTGCAGCCTTGTCCCACAGGGCACTGGATGCTTCCCAGGAGGGTTTTACTGATAAATGGAGAATAACCTGCCTGTCAAGAGAGGTGTTTTTGACACACCAACCCACCACCACCTCCTCACACCAGCACAGTCTGGTGCATGAGCATTTGGGCCTTTCTAAAATTGCTTTTGGCACATTAAGTGTCTGAAGGTGGTGTATTTCATGTATGTGTCAAGTTGAGCCTCTGACTTCTGCACATCAGGCCCTAGAAAAGAGGCTGAATCAGAGATGCCTCCTGGTTTGTTAAAGGCTGGTCTCAAAGAACCGGTGTGAGAAGAATGAGATCTGCGCAGAACACTCTGCTGTTCTGAGGATTGGCTTGCTATGCGCAAGCTTTGGCGGTTGTCCCTCCAGCAATCCTTCCTGGGCTAGGTATCTCCCATCCAGAACAAAATTAGCCAGAGGTCCCTATGCTGGTGTAGATCATGAAGCAAAAGCAGTTCAGAGACTAAAACATAGAGCTGGCAACTCTTCTAATGTAATCATTGTTCTTCCACTAATTTAGTAGCCCCTTTAGTCTCAAGATTGAAAGGCAGCCTATGCAGGGACAGTGCTGGGCAGAGGCCACCTCTGGAGGTGTGTCCTATATGGACACTCTCACTTTGAAGTTAAGACTGCAACTCCTTTTCAAGAGAGCTGAATCCTTGCTGATGGTTAGTGCAGGACACACACTTCACAGCAAATTTCCATAGCAGCTTAATGAGCTCCTGGTGTGGAGAAACCCACAGTCGTTTGCTTAATTTCTAACTTTAATGAAAGGCCCTCTGTGACTTCAAAGAAGACAGGAATGTTTTTGGAGTAGTTTCTCCCTCTCCTGCCTGGCAGTTGCATATCTGTGATGGAATTTCATGGGAAGGAGAATATCGCTGTGCTCTTTTATCTTTCTGGAGTAATTTCCTTAAGGCATTATTTTGTAAAGCCCTGTTGCTTTTATGCCAGTGAAATTGCCAAGGACTTTGTGTCCAGAAAAAGGTGCTAATAATACAGATCTAGCTCACAGATGGCTTTGGGATAGGCTAGGGATAGGCTTGTCAAGTGTTTCTCACGTGCTATAGAGAAGCAGGTCCTGTGAGTGAGCTGTCTGAAACGTAATCCCTCCCTGCATGGCTGACACTTCGCAGCATGCTCAGGGTAATCACGTCTGATTCTCACTGCTCGCTCCTTTGTGTTCCCTCTCCTGGTATTGTTCCTGTGTGGCATACTCATTCTCCTTTAGAGTTAATCTCTGGATCCAGCAGATAACAATCTGGTTCTGTTGAATGAATGAGGGAGGGGAGAAGGTTTCTGTCCAATGCATGCATCATGCATGGGAGGTAACAGTTTCAAGCTCTTTTTTGGTGATGGTGGTAACTGTTTGAATTTTGGTGCACGTAAAGGAAATGGGTGGAGGCAGACAGAGAGGCAAAAGACAGAAAGGTGAGCAGATATCTTGTATGGACACCTCAGCCAGACCCTCAATATGCTGTCCCTTCTCTTTGCTACTGCACCCCCTTCAAGGGAAAACAGAGGTGTCATGGCAGCTTCTCCAGCTCCACAGCTAGAGAAATAGCTGTTTTCCCACTGGTAAACTGGGAAGAAGGATTTTTCCTCCCCTCCCCAAGAGACTGCTATGCAAAACTTGTATGACTTGAGTGAGGAGAGCAAGTGAATGCTCCCACAGACGGTGGGAATGAGAACAGCTGACAGCTTGCCATGTGCAGCTTGCAGATCTCAGCAGTTTATGATGCTGTGGAGCAGATTTTGAAAGAAAGGAGAAATAAAGCCAGGAGGTAAGGGGAAAATAAGGCAACATGTACCATCTTTTGATCAGGGGTAAATAGCTTTCTTGGGGTAAGATCCTTGACCCTCTAGGTAAAAGAAACATAGTGGACCTTATCTACCTGGACTTCAGTAAGGTGTATGATAGGGTGTCCTAGAAGAAGCAAATTAGTGGAAAAGATTCAGGTGAAGAAGACAGGGATTATTAGAGAAATCCTCAAGTGGGTAAGAGGCTGACAGAACTGAGACACCAGTTCCCTAATGGGTTGAGGGGAAATGATTTGTGAGGCTGCTCAAAAATTGCTCAGGACTGAACTTTTTAATATTTATGTTAATTACCTTGGCACCGAAAGTAGAAATGCTGATGAAATCTGCCGAGGGAAAAGAGCCAGAAGGTGGATTCCAGCACTAGGAGAGTGGAACTAGTGTGATTGAGGTGCGGTTAAATGGGAGTACAAAAAGTAAGTCACACACTAGGGGAACTTACTGCTCAGAGAGTATTAGAAATCTCTCTTAGCAATTGGGGGTTCCTAGTTAGCAGGACTGAGGCAGGGAAGAGCCCTGGGTGAAGGTCACCAAAGGAGGAGATACCAGTGATGCTATGAGGGGGTGAAAAAGGCAAGTGAGCTTTCAGGACACAGCAGTATTTCCAGTTGCAGGGAGTGAGATGAATGTGATCCAAGAGGATGTGAGACCCCACCAGAATAGTGTGTGCAGTGCTGCTCACCCACAGTCAAGATATTCAGCCTGGAACAGGTGCAGAGAAAGGCAACAGGGTGATCAGAGGGATGAAGAGTGTCTCTCGGCCAAGAGAATGTTTAGTTATCAGCCACAGAAATGACTGCAGAGAGATGCATGAGCCAACTGGAAAATAGATGCAGTACCAGTTTGAGCTTTTCTGCCTTAATTATTTTGCACTGAACTTCATGCTAGTGCAGCTACTCAAAGTAATTAAAACATGGTGTGATGTGCCTGCAGGGTGAGTAATATAAGGGAACTTAGTCTGGCAGAACAAAGGTTAAGAGAGAAGAGAGTTGCTGCCTATAAATGCTTTTAGGAACTGGGGTTGGGAAACTCAGTGCTATAGAGTGAGGATAGCAACATAAGCTAAAGGGCAATTAAAAGAATAAATAGATATAAATTGGCCATGAATGAATTTAGGTTGGAAATCAGGAGGTTTCTAAGCAACAGAGCAGGGAAGGAGGTGCTGGAACAGCATTCTAGTAGCAAAAGTGACAGTGGAAACCTAATGAGATTTAGATCAGAGCTTAGTAAGTTTAGAAAGGCCATTTGTTTTGCACTTGCCTGTTATTCAAAGGGATTGAATCCAATAAGCCAAGAGGTCCCTTTTTAATTTTATTTCCTGTATTTGCCTTATTGCCTTATCAGAGATGCTTCCTTTCACACAGAAGTGAGGTAAATCCCAAACACAGTTTGTGTGATGAGTTTTTTGGCATTGATCCCATGGATATTTAATGGAAGATTCATTCTGTGTCAGAGATTTAAACTAACAAAAAAAAAGCAAGCCAACACAATGCATACAGAAGGTCTGCAAGTATGCGGTAGTATAGATGAGAACTCACTTATGAAAGAGCTTCTTCACATAAATCAGATGTTCTTGAAGCCTCTGGCTTTGCTGGAAGGATTTTTCTAATGTGGGTAGATGCTGTCCTGAGATTTGAGAACTTCAAGAGGCTGTCTGAAGGGAAAATGTTTTGTACTTTCCTGCCATTACTGAGGACTTCATGCTTTGGGAGGATATCAGATTTACTGCATTGGGAATTGTCAGTAAAAACCACCACCCAAACGCAGCTGAGACAGAAACTTCTTGCATGTATTTAATCGCTGATGTCTGGCCACAGCACTGTACTTATTCTGATTCTTCATATTGTCCTGTGTTGAGCAGGCACCTCTGGTACCTTCTCTAAAGCACCAACGGATGCTACCTTCCTGGTGAAACATTTTATCTAAAATCCCAGTGCATGAGTAAGATTGAAAGATAGGAAGGAGAGGGAAGTTCTTTGCTATACATTAGACCTCTGGAGACAGCTTCCAGGCATCCTCCAGCAGGAGACAGATTCCCAAGGACAGGCTGGGCCCAAGGGAACAGGAGTAGCGTGTGACGATGGGCCCCTGAATGAGGGGGAACAGTTTTATAGTTACAGTTCCTTATTTAGTGAACAATCCCAAATAATTCCATTATAAATGGATGTTTTCCACTCCCCATCTCAGGGTACCAAACCAGTGGATTGAGAAAAGAGGAAACAAAAAAGAGCAAGGCGTGAAATGTCACTGCATGTCAGCCTCATTTGCCAATAAAGTTTTCAGCAAGAAAAACTAGAAGAGGATTCCATCTCACTGAGGAGAAATGACCATCTATCCCAAAGAAAATGCTTAGTTGTCAGCTTTATGCTGCTGGAAATAAAGCACGGCACTCTCACAGCTACTGCTTCCAGTTCTCAACTCTGCAGCATCTCTGAGTAGTTGAGAAGTGCTTTGTAAATGATAATGCAATTACAGCTCCTATAAACACTCTCCTTGCTTTACAGATGGATGAACCAAACCGTGAAGAGCATAAAGGATTTGTCCAAAGAATCAGCAAGTCATTTTCAAGCAAGGAGTCCTCATCTACCTAGCCACCAGAAATTCCTTGTCTTGTAAACTTCCAGCTAGATGAATTGCTGCTTTACAAAAATATATGTGTGCATACATACATATATATATATATATACATATATATGTTTCCCAAAGTGAGAAGAGAAGAGAAGAAAGAACAGACCTTTACCTCTTTTTGCTGAGCCTGCACAGGTAGAGGGAGGAGCAGGTGAAGTTGGCTGAAGTTTGAGCTTTATCACAGCCCCTTGGTCTTGCTGGAGCCCACCTTTCTGTCAGTGTTCAGCTCCCAGAAGAGATCCGTGTCTGAGGGAGGACACTCTGGACAAGGTAAAGCTTCCAGGAGCTCAGCCTCTGACACTGGCTCTCTGGATGGAGATTCCCTCAAGCCTGGAGGACTGATGCTGGGGGAGACTAGCTCCCGAGCTGTTCCTGACATGCACTGGCAGCTGTCTGCCTGCTATTCTTTTAAAGAGTCTTCGTGGATCAGGATAAAAATGTGATCTTACGCAGGCGGCATTGTAAGCACAACTCTTGGCTCCAGTTCAGCTCTTCCTCTGGCTCCCAGCTACTCTATTTTTATTGAAGGAATTTGAGGCTATCAGAAAGGAAGTCAAATTGTTTTAGGAAAACAATAGAAAAGCAACTTGAAGTTTATTAGCTTCCTGCCCAGGGCCTGGGACCAACTTGTCAAACTTATTAGAGCAATGGCAGAGCTATTTATTTAAAAGGGCTAGTGACAAGACTCACAGTTTCATTCCTGTTTAGGCCTTGGTGAAAACAAAGGAAACCCATAAAATAATATCTGAAAGGAGCAGATGGCCAACTGGTAAATGGTGTAAGTAGGGTTGGCCTGTGGGCCATTCGTGGTGTTCACCAGTGCAATGGGTTTTGTGTAATTTTGTTGTTGAATGAATACCTGGGCTTGCATTCATAGGCTAGCCCCAGCACCCCAAATTCCTTATTGTGGCTCAGATTTACAAATGGAAGCCTTGCACCTAAGATTACAAATTTGGCAGGAAAAGGTCTTAATTTAGAGCTACCGAAAAAAGCAAAACAATACAGCAGGTCTGCAGAAGAGTCAGGAATAGAGCCCAGGTGTCCTTGATCCTGTAGGACCACTGGAGCCCCCTGACTGTAAAAATTATTTATATCCTTCAGAAGCAGCTGCAGTCTGCTTCCCCTTTCAGCTACCCCAAAGTAGCAGTGCCATTAAGTCACTGAGAACATGCTGGCATGCGTCTGGTGAGAAGAATGGACAGCCAAACTATTAGACTCAAAAGCAGACAATGTCCATGCTGCCTGAGCCTAAGGAGTTTCATTGTTTGTAAGCAAACAAGAAGAGAATAAACCAAGTAACTGAGAAGCATTTACAAACTCTGCTTAATGCAAAGCCATATCCCTTTTTTATAGTGCTGTCTGCTGTCTAACCTGCTTCCAGTGAGCATATAGGAAGAACTCACCTCTCCTTTCAATGGTGCAGTAGTAGTCTCTAGAAAGTCAGGCGCTGAGAGGTACTGATCTCGCAGAGCTATGCACACAAGCTTTGAAGAACTCGGTAACTGTTTTTCAGATGAAAGAAGAAAAACCCACCTCAAAAATTATCTTCCTTCTCCTCATTAACTTAACTAAAAGTGGGAATGCAAAGCTGCAGTTTTCTCTGAGGCCTAGGGCAAAAATGCATCTTGTATTAGCAAGTGGTAGAAAATCTCCCTTTAATTTATCTGGTTAGATGCTTATAAGAGAGTCAAAGTGAGTGCATGATCTCTGGAATGGCCTAAGAAACTGGATCTTAAGTTGGCAGTTTTAATGTAAGTACAACAATTTTGCATTTATTTAAGGTATTCTTACACCTTTTAGAAGGTTTCTCTAATTTCTGTCCCTCTCAGATACTTCTTTGGCAAACAAAAAAAAAGAAGCATACAGAACAGTGCAGCATCCTAGTTCATTAGAGTCCATAGATATTTACTTAATTTCACTTACATTCTTGAGTTGCATTGAATTCAATGAGATTTAATAGCCTGGAACTTCAGCACCCTCCATTGCCAGCCAGGCCAGCTTTGCTGGGGGAATTCTGAGGCAGAGGAAGCTAGTTGATATACCTCTCAGTTGCCTCTGCCATAAGGAATGACACATGCAGATCACATGGTGGTGTGGCAAAGGAAGAGATTTTATTTGCATTTATTTGGAATCCGTGTCACCTGGGCTAGTATCAATTCGCACTTTGTTCTAGTAACTAGTGTTTCAACCCCAGATATATGCTGTGAGAGCCTTTTTGTTGGACTCTTGGTAGTCCCTAAGGCTGGGATCCTACGAAGACTTGATCATGTGAATAAACTGATACAGATATAGCTTGGGGCCATTTGTGTGGGTAAAGGTCCCTCTGTGTATAAATGTCATAGACTGGAAAATGTTGTAGATTATTGAAGCTCCTGTTTTTATCACCAAGAGCCAATGTGGTTGCTCAGAAACTCCTGGGGTAGCAGAGGCTACTAGCAGGCTGGACTCATGCATGCTGGGGGACCCCTCACCCTAGGAGGTTGAAGCATGCTGCCATGGACAAGGGGTAATGGGTTCAAACTTAAACAGGGGAAGTTTAGATTGGATATAAGGAGTAAGTTCTTTACTGTAAGGGTGGTGAGGCACTGGAATGGGTTGCCCAGGGAAGCTGTGAATGCTCCATCCCTGGTGGCGTTCAAGGCCAGGCTGGATAGAGCCTTGGGCAACATGGTTTAGTGTGAGGTGTCCCTGCCCATGGCAGGGGGTTGGTACTGGATGATCTTAAGGTCCTTTCCAACCCTAACTGTTCTATGACTCTGTGATTCTATGTAGTGCCACTGCCAGCACCCAGTTCCTGGTATGTGCTCTCTGTATCATGCTGAGGTTAGGTAGCTGTGCTGCTGTGAGATCTCCCACCTCTAAAGCTTGAGCCTTTAGGAAAAGGCTGCTTAAGCAATATTGCCAGTGTGGAAAGAGCCCCCAGCACACTTACCATAAAGCAGTCTAACCTTGCTGTGGGGTAGAAGGACCTCAGCCTGCTCTATACTCTTCTCCTCAGGAGGAAGAGGAATCAGGACTTGAATCTGCTCTGAAGGCCAGGATCTCTAGAGCTTTCTCTGGAAACCAGTTTCAAAGGAAGAAACAGTAATAGGAATTGAGGAAAGAGAGATGTGTGTTTAGATGACAGTGAGTGAAACTGAAAAATAAACAGCCTGAGCTATGGAAGGATTCTCAGATGGTGCTTACTGCTCTCAGCCAGCTTGTTCTGTTTTGTGATGGTCTGAAAGCATTTTGAGACATAACCTCTCATCTAAAATTAAGAACTTAATTAATTACACAAATTTATGAGTAATCGTTCTTCTCACCAATTTTGTGATGTGTATTGGCGGGGTTCTGGAGCGTTCTGTAAGCAATGCAGATTACAGCAAATGGAGGGGGCAGGAGGACACTGCTGGCCCAAGCAGATTAGAAGGGTACATTTTTTGTCAGAAGACCAAATGCCCATGTACTAAGCATGCATATGTGCATGCACACATATGCACATAGAATAAAACTACATTTCTTTTGCTGGCAAGAGCTCACGAGCTAGACCAACTCCCAGCAATGTTGTGGTGCGCAGCCTGCTGGGAACGTGCCTTAGAAGGGGCTTCCCTTTCCAGAGTGTGCCATGAATCACATTTCAGCAGTGCAAGGGAAGCAGGCAGCCCTGCTCCTTCATGGTGCATCTTCTGTGTGGCAGCAGAAAGGCAAATAGGCTCACAAGGATATATTAGGCAGCTACACTTGTCAGCCTGGTATCCTGAGTATTTGCTAGCGGAAAGCTGGGAGATGGTTTGTATTCAGTTTTGTTGTGAGGGTGAAGGATTTGGTCAATTCAAAGCTCCTCATTTGTGTTTCTGGACACCTGGGTTTCCTGGTTAGATGCTGTCTGCTTGACTTCTTCCAACAGCCCACCCCTGCCCAGGAGAGGTTACAGGCTGCAGAGGAAGCAGGTGTGTGTGTTAGTCACCTACTACCACAAAGGCAAGGAAGTCAGTGCCCTGGTTCCCTGACTGAGGCCGTGCAGTCAATGCTCATGTTTAAAGCTATGAGGGATTTAGAGAAGGCTAGGAAATTCTCTGAGCACCGAAGTTCCTGCTGAAGGCCTAACATAGGGTTTTCCCCACTTAGCTTTCCATTGCATTTCGTTTCAGTTCTCACCCTCTGCCCCTCATATATAGAGTAATGCACTCGGCTCCGATCCTAACTGCTGACTACTCCCTATAAACCCAGGCCTTGCATTCTCACTGGGTCCTCCACACACTGCAGCTTCTTGTTTTTAATGCTAGTGGAGGCAAAGCTGAATTGTGCAAAATTGCTGGCCTATACCGAGATGTTTCAGTTGTGGGTTGGTGTTGTTTCTTCTTTCTTATTTGGCGATTGGCGGATGATATCGACATGGGCTCGCACTAAGGTGCAAGCCTTACCCTTGTGTAAGCTCATGCAGAAACCTGCTCAAATAAAAGCTGAATAAGCCATGTCATCAGGTTTGTGTGTGTTTGCTGATGTTTATTGTTTTCCCTAAAATGGTGGAAAAGGAAGTAGTATTTAAACTTGATTGAAACAAGTTAAAGTATCTGTGAATTCACTGGCTTTGAGCTGAATCTTGCAGTTTTGTACTCAGATACAGAGTTTGGCTTCTTGATGGGAAAACTAAAATTTATTGTCCTTAAAAACTACTCCTGCCCCCAGCTGAGATATGACAAAAATAGATGTTAAAATAATACACTTCTTTTTTTCTGGTTGGGCATGATGGATTTTAGTTTTCTGTGTGTGTGAGAAACAGAGAT